AAAACAAAACAAACCTGACTGTTTAATCCAAGTGACACAAAAGACCGTTCAAAAACAAATACAGACCTGAGTGTATAACCTAAGTGTACATAAAAGACCGTTCAACAACAAATACAGACCTGATTGTTTAACCTAAGTGTACATAAAAGACCGTTCAACAACAAATACAGACCTGATTGTTTAACCTAAGTGTACATAAAAGACCGTTCAGTTTCAGTTACTTTGAGGTAAAATTGATGTATTTATAAAGTTTCTAATATTTTTAGAAGTATGTAAAGTTACAGATTGATCATGAATTATTTTATAAAGGTAATTATAAAGATGATGAAGAGGAAAATGAGGATGAAGTGGAAGATGAGGATGAAGAGGAAGATGAGGATGAAGAGGAAGATGGGGATGAAGAGGAAGATGATGAAAAATCAAATGAGGATGAGTCAAAAGAAGATGATGAGAAGAAGTCAAATAAAAAAAGCGACAAAAAGTCCAAGGGTTGTCGTAGAAAACGCAAATGTTGTTGTTGTTGTTGTTGTAAAGTCCAGAAAAGCAAATGTGGCAAGCAGAAAGTCGCCGGTGGAAAACTTAAAGTCCAGAAAAGCTGGACACGCCGATATAGCAAAGGTGGCAAGCAGAAAGTCGCCGGTGAAAAAAAAAAAGACAATAACTCGTTTGGTAAGGAGTTATATATATATATATATTCTAAATCAATATTTAACACTAAAGTACGGTTCTTTGAAATATAACTTTATCACTAAAACGTTGGTGTGAATTATTGGGAACATTTTAATAAGTTCTATAACTGTAGGTGCCAGGTTCGAGTCCCACCAAACTTGCTCGCCAGCCGTGGGGGGCATTATAATGTCACGGTCAATTCCATTATTCGTTAGTAAAAGAGTAGCCCAATAGTTTGCGGTGGGTGGTGATGACTAGCTGCCTTCCTTCTAGTCTTTACATTGCTAAATTAGGGATGGCTAGTGCGGATAGCCCTCGTGTAGCTTTGCGGGAAATTAAAAACAACAAACAAACTATTTCTGTACTGGCACAACACATATTGTTCGTTGTTTGGTTGTTTACTTAACAACAAACAATCATATTGTTCATTATTTGGTTGTTTACTTCACAACGAACAATCATATTGTTCATTATTTTGTTGTTTACTTCACAACGAACAATCATATTGTTCATTATTTGGTTGTTTACTTCACAACGAACAATCATATTGTTCATTATTTGGTTGTTTACTTAATAACAAACAATCATATTGTTCATTATTTGGTTGTTTACTACTTAACAACGAACAAATATTTTTTATCTCTCAAAATTTCTAGTTCACACTGGAAAGATTTTGAATATAAAGTTAGAGAAAAACGACCTTTAACCTCCAGATGATTATAAAAGAAGTGACGAAGTTGCAAAAGCGAAACGATGATTCAAACGAAAATTTCTTTTATAATCATCTGGAGGTTGAAGGTCGATTTTCTCTAACCTTTCAATCACAACAGAATGACCAGTTTATCAGTATATTATAAATGAACGATAATTATTTTTTATTTATTGATGTCAGTGGATGTACAGGATTATGATATCAAATTCAAAAGTTCGTTAGATAATCTCTGTGTTCTTAAGTTATTAAAACGATGATTATAAATTTATATATCTTAGGACGATTGTAACTGTAAAATACAAACAAATAACAAAATATTGGTTCATGAAATTTGAAGTGCTTATTTTACCCTCAGATTTTGTCTTATTTCTTAGAAAAGGCTTAGAAACAATATGTCATTAATACTAAGTATGTTTTATTTGCGTATTCGAAAGTGTTATATTTTCTACTAAACTAATTATAGTTTTCCCATTTAATGAAGCGTGTTTACTTGTTGAAAGTAGAGTTTAAAATGTAACACAAATCTAACGATAGAATATTACAAAATGTAGTAAACCCACCTTATTTCCTGCACATGTTTAGTTTATCAATCTTCTTATTTTTTACAGTGTATTTTGCATGCAGGTAATGGGATCGATTAAAATAGAACCTTCATACTTTCGTCTTGAGATAATAAACTGTCAACTAAACTAAAGAAATATAGATGTCGCTGAAATCCATTCTTCTTCTTTGGAGGCGGGAAATTGATTGTCAACTTTTAATGTTAAATAAAAGCATTTGAAAAAATATTATTTTGTGTGGTTATGTTTATTACGAATACCCTACATATGCCTTTCTTATGGAACATTTTCGTGGTTTCTTCTGAATTATATTGGAACACCGTTGTTTTGGTGAGGGAACCACTAAGTCCTAAAGTGGCGAAGAAAAAAATATGCATCGTAATAGAATTTTTTAATTCAACAAAGCCCCCCAGTGGCATAGCGGTATTTCTGCGGAGTTACAACGCCAGAATACGGGTTTCGATATCCGTGGTGGGCAGAGCACTGATAGCCCATTGTGTAGCTTTGTGTTTAATTACAAACAAACAATTCAACAAATCCCTTCGATTTAATTTTACTTAAGTTTTAAATTCTGTATTTTAACCCTAAATTCGAAAATATCACTTATTATTTAAATGCCATCAATATGAAATTAGTTGTAGTTTTCTAAAAGTTCTACAAATTATTTACTGAAATGTAATGGAATAAAAAGAATAGTTTGGTGGCGCCATCTATTATCGATGAGGACAAATGTTTATTTTTCTTAAATCAATTTACTCAGAAACTGATGTAATAATTATAAAATTATATTCTCGAACTGACGACTCAAGATTGAATAATTTAGTATTTTCAATACTTACAAATTAGATTTTAGAAAAGAGAAATGATTAGGACAACATAAAATATTGATAAAAAATCAAAAATGGTTTGAATTGCCATTTGCTATTGTTTGAACCCACAGTAAGGGTTAGTGTAACATACCTATATTGTACAACATACAGTAAGGGTTACTATAACATACCTATCTTGTACAACATACAGTAAGGGTTAGTGTGACATACCTATCTTGTACAACATACAGTAAGGGTTACTAATAGTAACCCTTACTGTATGTTGTACAATATAGGTATGTTATAGTAACCCTTACTGTATGTTGTACAAGATAGGTATGTTATAGTAACCCTTACTGTATGTTGTACAAGATAGGTATGTTATAGTAACCCTTACTGTATGTTGTACAAGATAGGTATGTTATAGTAACCCTTACTGTATGTTGTACAATACAGGTATGTCACACTAACCCTTACTGTATGTTTTACAAGACAGGTATGTTATAGTAACCCTTACTGTATGTTGTACAAGATAGGTATGTTAACATACCTGTCTTGTAAAACATACAGTAAGGGTTACTATAACATACCTGTTATGTACAACATACAGTAAGGGTTAGTGTGACATACCTATATTGTACAACATACAGTAAGGGTTACTATAACATACCTATCTTGTACAACATACAGTAAGGGTTAGTGTGACATACCTGTCTTGTAAAACATACAGTAAGGGTTACTATAACATACCTGTCTTGTAAAACATACAGTAAGGGTTACTATAACATACCTATCTTGTACAACATACAGTAAGGGTTAGTGTGACATACCTGTCTTGTAAAACATACAGTAAGGGTTACTATAACATACCTGTCTTGTAAAACATACAGTAAGGGTTACTATAACATACCTATCTTGTACAACATACAGTAAGGTGTGAGTGTAACATACCTGTCTTGTAAAACATACAGTAAGGGTTACTATAACATACCTGTCTTGTAAAACATACAGTAAGGGTTACTATAACATACCTATCTTGTACAACAT